CCAAACCTACATTCTGTCGTTGTTGGCCTGAGAACCAGGCTGGGACCCCACAGACACGGCTCTCAGAGGCCCAGGGTGTAGGAACTTCATGCAGGTCCCTCCTGGGTTGCTTCGTGGGCTGCTGAGCTCTTGCTGAGCTGTTACCCCACTGCTCTTTAGCTGAGGGAATGGAAAGAGAAAAGAAGAGTTTCAAAACTTATTTATTTGTTAAGCATGTATGAGAAAACAAGTATAAGTATGAACATAACATATAAGTATAAACAGTATATACATAATAAATGAGTATGAATAAATGGAAGCCGTAGGACAGGGACGGTAGGCACGCTGGTGCACTTATGCACGCCCCCTTACAGACCTCTTAGGAATGGAGTGAGGTCCATGGTAGACGGTTTAAGGTTAAAAGTTTTGGGGGGTTTGAGGATGTAACAACAGAGTCATGGAGTGAGTTCCAGGCATTGACCCCCTCTGTTGCTGAAGTTGTATTTTCTGCCATCGAGTTTGGAACGGTTTACTTTGAGTTTGTATCTATTGTTTGCCTGTGTGTTATTGTGGTTGAAGCTGAAGTAGTCACGGACAGGTAGGACGTTGTAGCAGGCAATTTTGTGTACTAAGCTTAGGTCAGACCATAGGCGGCGTAGTTCTAGGTTGTCCAGGTCCAAAATTTCAAGCCTAGTAGCATAAGGTATTCTATTGCGAGCAAAGGAATTTCAATTGGGAAAATGTGACTGTCCTAGACCAGGCCAAGAGGGCAGGATAAGAAATAAGGGTTGGAAACTAATCAAGGAGAGAAGCAACCTGGAATGAAGGTTGCTTCCCTAACAGGGAGGACAATTAACCAGTGGAACAGCTTGCCACCAGAAATCGTGGCTGCTCCATCACTGGAGGTTTTAAAGAAGAGACTGGATAGTCGCTTATCTAAAATGGTATAGGTTCTCCTGCTTGCGCAGGAGGCTGGACTAGAAGACCTCCAAGGTCCCTTCCAGCTCTATTCTAAAGTCCCCAAATGCCAGGGAATTTCTAGAAGCATCCAAATTTTGATCACGTGACCATGGGGGACGCTGCAGTGGGGATAACTGTGAAAACACGGTCATGAGTCAGTGTTTTTTTTTCAGCGCCATCATAACTTTGAACCATCACTAAACAAATGATTGTAAGTCGAGGACTTCCTACCAGTCAATGTCCTACCAGTCAATGACTACTTCAGCTTCAACCGCAACAATACAAGAGCACACAACAGATACAAACTCAATGGAAACCGCTCCAAACTTGATTGCAGAAAGTACGACTTCGGCAACTGAGTGGTCAATGCCTGGAATGGACTACCTGACTCTGTTGTTACATCCTCTAACCCCCCCGCCACTCCTTTAACCTCAAACTATCCACCATTGACCTCACCCCATTCCTAAGAGGTCTGTAAGGGGCGTGCATAAGTGCACCATCGTGTCTACCATCCCTGTCCCTATTTATTCGTACCTATTTCCTGTATTCTTACTCATGTTTATGCTTATACGTATTATCTTGTAAGCGATCGGCAAATCAAATCAAAATAAATCAAAATAAATAAATATGTGGGAGTCCCTTCACCTGCAAAGGTTAAGAAGCCAGTGGAAACACCTGAGTGCTTACCTGTGATGGAAAAGGACTCTTTGAAGGAAGGATCTTTTCTGTGGCCAAAAGCGACGTAGAGGAGGACATGGGGTTTCCGCTGGTATTTCCTGACTCTTGGCTGGGGAGCCTTGAGTTCTCCACAGAACCGTGTTGGAAACCTCCATTGACGCCTCCGAATCGGGAAGGCAAACTCTGAAATCCAGTCCACTTACGGAGTAACATTTAAGGAGTTGAGAATCCCAGGAAAACTTCTCTTCCCTGAGCAACGTGGCTGAATCAATGTGATGCTCCAATCTGGAGTTTGGGCTGACGGAGGTTTGTGAACCCAGTCTGAAGAACCTAAAAAAAAAAAAAAAAATCCACGACCCAAAATAAAGGGGGAGGAGAGCTTTCCTTCAAAACTAGCATTTTCCCCAATGCATAAAAATGTTTTTTCAGAACATTACATACTTGAACCTTTTTCCATTATAAATTTTACAAGTCAAATAAAACCTTACAATATAATATAATATAATACAATATAATTCTATTTTAAACCATTTCCATATGAGCATACAAATACCTCTTATCCAGTTTCTCTTTACTTCTCTTTACTCTTATTCAATTTCACTATTATTATTTCATCTATTTCTTTCTGACTTGGTTACCATTATTCTCATTCTATATTTCTGCAAGGTTTTATTAATTCTCCCAAAAACATAAACACACAACACACAAACATATAAAAAATCTTTTAGGAAAGTAACTTGGCCCCAGGTACCTCTCTCTACATGGACTTCAATTATATTCATGCTCATCTTACATGTCATTACCTATTTTATTTACCATTCTATGTCTTCTATATTAGCTTCTCCACACATTTCACTCTTCTTAATTCTATCTTATTTAATCCATCTTAATTTGAGTCATTATATTTGTATCTTTTGTCCATTCTTTATTATCCCTTTGTCTCATTCCTTATAATAATAAAAAAAAAGAGTTTCTCCTGAAATCACTAATCAGAGTATGATGCCTTTCTATCTTCCCCCTAAATTAATTAGGTTAACATTTAAAATAACACCTAATACCCAATCTGATTCTGCTTGGTACATTCTGTCTACTATTTTTTTTTTAATAAAAGAAAAATAATAAATCCAAAATGATTAAATACATAGTTAAATAATAGATCTAAATATTGAATCTTATAACATTCCCATTGCCTTTTCCAAAGACAAATGCTACAATAATAATTTTATAATAACATCAATACCATAGTCATATTAAACTCTTTAATTAAAACTCAATATTCTAAACATTCCCTTTAATATTTTATTAAATTTTAAAATCAATCATTACTAAACATTTCAACATTTTAATCTCTTATTAACTCTTAAACCATTCTAATTTTCTATTTCTAATACAAATGCTACAATACCATCTTATGTACCTTGCAAATTTTTTTTTAAAGAAATTATACTTTACCCTTTGTCCCTAAAAAAGATTCCTCTTTTCCCATCTGATTTCAAAACTTTGTGGCTTTTCTCCACCTTTTCCCTTTCTTTCTTCTCCCACCAGACCTTTCTACCCCACCTTCTCCTAGCCTCTGCCTTACTGGCTTCCCTTCTCTGTTGTGTTCCTTTTTTCTTTTGTTTACTATCATTATATTGATTTTGCACCTTATTTTTCTCTTTCTTGAGTATTTTTTTAAATCTTAAGTCCTTCATTTTCCTTCCTTTCTTTCTTCCTTCTTTCTTAGTTAAATTTTGAAATTCATTAAAGATGGCTTCTTCTTCTTCTTCTTCTTCTTCTTCTTCTTCTTCTTCTTCTTCT